CCCCACTAAGGTGGCGCCCAGAGGGAATGCCACACTGAATACACACTTGAGCGGACAAAGAGGTCCAATGGGTGGCGGCTGCAAATCTTTTCTCTTTCTCCTTGTTATTTCTCTTCTTGGACATTTACTCCAAGCTGAAAATCGTTGATCTGAGGCACTGACATTGCTACTATCAATTAGGGAAAATGTTGCTGGCTCACCACGACGCGTCCCGAACCAGCACCACCACAACTGCTGCATCACCATCACTGTTGGAGTACTTTTTTGGCACAAAACTCTTGCATCGCACTGATATGCATGTACATCTGGAACGCGCTGACATGCAATTGTCATGATCAACCTGTATTTTATGACATGTTTGTCTACTGCTTTCATTTTCAACACGGATGTCTTAGGGAAAAGGAAAAGGGCCTGACTTTCGAAAACTTATTGCAGGTGCGTCTGGAAGGCGTCCCTTCCAAATATCCTCACCAATGTCTGCCAGCTTCGTTGGCACAGCAGCAAGACATGGTGGCTGTGCCCCCTGCTGTTGAATGGTTTCTGTTTTGGTTCAAACATGCAAGCCATGCAAAATCATTTAAGGTCAAAGCAGATAAAACATTTTGGCTCTTTGGTAAAGAGGTTGACACACACGCACACATACACACACATGTGCACATACACACGCACACACGCGCCCACACACCCACACACGCGCCCACATTTGTGTAATTATTGAATATAAATGTATACATATGTATATATCTTCATATACTCAGTATGGCCATAAACCATATGCGAGATGTACACGTGATCATATACATATACATATACACCAGCTGCAGCTGATGCCGACTTCGCGCTCGCGCAATGTGCTCGTCGTTTCGCCGCGGAATGCGGTCTCAAGAGATTGGATTCTCATATATGTCTTCTTATATCGCCGGGCGACGGTATCCTAATAGTATCTCATAAATTCGGGTCAAACTACACATGTGGGGTTCTCCGGTCCGTTAATTGTGGTTATTGTTGAGTGACAGTTTTGTTTGAAAATATTTGACCTAAGGGTTAGCACGGTGCTTCCATCCTACAGGGCTGTTGAGGTGCTGAACGGTTCTGTTCAGGTTGTGTTTCCGAAGGTTCCTTAAAGGAACTGAGTCAGACTCTGGAGTCGTCTGTTGTGACGGTTTGTTAACGAAAAGTGTAAATAATCGTATTTTGTGTCTGTACAGGAACCGTAAGGGGGTCTCAAGACTTTTGGCGTTGTTTATAATGCGATACTTGGATCCGTAGATTCGAGCTCCTTAACGTAGGGCCGCACACAGGCGCTAACAGAAGTTAGTTGTTGCCTCCAACTGTGTAGTTTTGTGTTTTCGCAAAACGCCTTGAGCCTCTGCTGTCTATATATCATGTTGGGTACTCGGTAAAACCGATACCCAAGGGGGAGTGACAGCAAGAGCAAGTACAGCATGTTGTGTTACCTGCAGGCGTTTTTTTGGCTTAAGAGTGAAAAAGGTAGTGTGCCGTAGCAGTGCCACTGTCCTTGTAGTAGCTGTGAGTGTGGGTTTTGTTTGTGTCCCGGCGGTTGCTAGCGGCTAACCCAAAGGAGGAATCTACCCTCCAGGTCACGGAAGCGGAAAAGCCGGAAGGGGCGCACCATCGCTAGTTTTTTTCCAGACAGCCACATTCATTGGGCAGCACATTGGGTCTCCATGTCAGTTCGCATGCGTTCCCCGCACTTCGGCACCCTACAACGTGTCAAAGCTGCTGGCGTTTGTGTCAAATCGTATTGGCACCCGTGCTCTGTACATCACGCAACATGCAAGTCCAAGGGTCTGCAACTGATTGAGTTGCATCTGTATCAAGGGTCCGAAGCAGCAAAGACAAGCACCAATCAAAGACATCCAAAAGGCCAACATGCTTTTTGAATGTTTGCCGAAGCCTTCAAGACTGCAAGTGACACTAAACGCACGCATGAAGTTGCCTTGTGGGAATCACTTGCTTGACTTGAGTAAAATGCCAGACTGCCGAGTGGCTGAGCAAGCCGGCAAAGCCGCTCAGCAACCACAGGGCTGCCTCCAAGACCATTTGCCCCCTCCTCTCCCCTTCCCCTTCCCTCGTCTCCCACCTCAAAGGGCAAGGCAGTGCTGAATACGGAGCCGACCCAACCGAAGAAGACAAAAACCTTCTGGATAAAAAGCTCACTTGTCAAGAAAGTCGATTTGTCTTGAGGATGCTTTGAGGACCTAGCCGCGGGCGCACTGTAGCGGCAGAGATAATACAGGCCTTAGCTTTCAGAGAAACCAGGAGGTCTCGATAGATTTAGGCGCCCCTGCTCATGTAGTCGCTCCGCTTTGGTACCCCAAGCCTTCAGAAAGCGGGGCTCTCGAAAACGGCAGCTTCCAAAAAAAAAGAAAAAACCTCAGGCGGCAGCTCGGCCAGCTGCATCCCCCAGTGCATAGCTCCAGCCTCGTCATCTGATTCGACTTAATGCAGTTTCAAAATGTTGTCCTCTCTTTCTTCTCATGTCATTTCTAAGGCCCTGGCGCAGGACAACAGAGCGCCAGCCTGCACTCCAGCAATCTCGAGCAACTACAACTTCCTGGAATCTACAACTTGGCCAGCGCCACGTAGTGCAAAGACCAGTTGAGACTGAGACGTGCAAAATCCTGAGCCCAGAGAAGATTACATGTTGACATCTCCCTCCAGCTGAGGTTTCCGCAGAAGCTGATGGTACCTGCTTTAGAGTGCTGCTCTGCAAGTTAGAGCCAACCAAAAGTGGGTCGGCAAAAAAAGCGTTTTCTCTTCTTCTTTTCACTGCTTTACCCCCTGTAGTGAGGGAGGCCGGGGCATTACCATACAAGGAGCAGGCTACAAACCACGACAAACACACAAGTGGGCTGCATACCAACCCGCGCCACTCTACCTCCTCCTCGTATGTACTTCACCGCTTCTCAAGGCAGCTGTGACACGTAACCAGCAGCATTCTCACCAGACCCTCCCCAGTAGACATGAAACATCAACACTGCCATAGCCACTACGCCTTCCTAGCTCACCCCCTGCGCTTACCGGTGTGAGAAGGGACAGCAGTCGCAGCATGAGCTACTGTCACACCCACACTCTCCCGAAAAAAGGCCGGCCTTGACGTGATGCTTCCATCTCGGATCCATCACTCTGTAGAAACTGCACCACTATAGGATGTAGGGTGTCAAAGGCGAGTAGAAGCAAACGTCAACTGATTCCCCCCACCACTGAGTTGCCACTTCAAATTGACAGGTCTTGTACAGGAAACTGCTCTTGTGGCAGCACTCCGAACTGCACCGAACTGCACCATGACCACAATACCCCAGCATCCACTAGAGGCTAGAGAAAAAAAAGCATAAAAGATTCCACATCCAAATGTAAGCACATGAGCCAAGTCCACACTTCTGTCACAGAAGGATCCAGACTCAAGACAACAAAATGTTTTCTCTCTCTCTTTCTTTGGGCCCTTTGGGCCTGCGACGACTCGATCGCCTCGGCATCGCTCGGATCCGATCCCGCGAAGTGCACGGCCTCCCAAAAAGCACAGGCGAAAGGCTAAAGCGAGGTACGACCTTCTCCCGCAGCCCGCATTGTATCCCGCAGTATCTTACAATGCTCCGCGCCAGCGAGCCCATGCCCAGCGGCAACAACCTGTCAGTCAACGCCTTTTTGGGGAGGCGTTGGGTGCATGTGCGATAGCTGCCGGGCAACGCTGCCGCCCCCAGTACACGCATTTGCCCAGGAGGTCGTTGCTCCTTGAAACAAAGCCCCGCCCGAAACGTCTCGGCAATCTGGGTGCACCCTTGCCTCTTTGGCCCACTCAGGCAGGTGCCAAACGCGATGATCCTTCTCTCCAAGCCAAACATGGAATGCCATACTGTGCCATGTTGTCGCCGGTGCCTTACAACCTAGCCTCTGCTAATGCCTGACACCCCAGCCTGTCCTAAGCGGAGTGATCCTTCTTTTGTTAAACCAACAAGACAGAGTGGCTTCAAGATATGCCGTATTTTGCTGATTCTGGCCACATGGCATCGCATGAAGGCGGCATACTTGAGCTACTGATGCTTGCCTCCTTGCCGCCTTGCAGAGTGCAACACTCGCTGTTCCACACGTCAATGAAGTGGATGCTTCTGCTTTGCTGACTGAGCTTATCCCAATGAAGATTCATGTTTGTTCTCCCGAACTTGTTCCTTTGCTATGCATGGCAGTACAATGGCAATAAGCTCTATGTCCCCGGCTTGTCACGACGTGCTTTGAGGAGTTGGCTTCCCATGCACTATACGTCGAAAGATCTATCTTGGTTGAACTATAGGTGCAAAGGGGCTTCGTTTTAGGAGGCTGCGAGGCTTGGAGCGGTTTGCAATTTGCCACGCTTGCGTAAAGAATGCTTCACACGAATGCTTTTTTGGATTCAGTTCCGTCGTGGAGGCTCCTGTAGATTCCAGTTTCACTTCCTTTGTGCCAAGCCTTCCCTTGTCTGCCACTGCGCAGACTGCACAGAGTGAGCAGAGTGAGCAGAGTGAGTGTCAGCACCCCTATGGAGCGCAAGTGCAGGGGCATAACAGAATTTCGAACACACTGCCTGACTCGATTGCAAGAGGCTGGGAAATTACAAGGTTGACTAATGTACAAGAAGTGCGCGGGGATCAAATCTGAACCATTCAGGTACCAGGTACCGATCTCAAGCTGCCGGAGCGGCACCCTGTGGCAAGGCGTCTGCGAGTCAGAATCAGTTGCTCGCTACGCCGTCTACGCTTCCATGCAGTGCTGAAGCACATACAGAAAGATTCTTCAAGACATCAGGTAACTTCACTCGTTTTTGGGCTGCTTGATAAGAAGATGGTGCACGCAGCATGCCATAGACCTAGCACCTTGGGCCATATCTGTCTGGGAGCACCATCATGACCATCATTGTGGACTCGCCGGTGCGCTAGGTGGACTCGGAATTCTCCCTTCTGAACATACAGTTGGATCTTCTGGGTTGGGTCAACAATGCCAATGCAACAAAGAGAAAGTCTTGCAGCAAGTTACTCTCGGACTGAGATCTGGCCTTTTGACCCGTCGATGCTCTGCGGACAGTGATCCTGCAGCGGCAAAAGTTCCAACAGCGGAATCTCCCTTCATTCCTGGCAGCCACCCGAGCAGACCCAGTGGGCATCTGCACCTCAAGACAAGAGGGACCCAGTCGTCCAAGTCGTCAAGCTTTGACTCACAACTCAAACTTCGGCTGCGCCTGGTGGCCCTGGAGCTCACTGCCATAAGATGCTCTACATAAATTTTGCTGCTTCCCAGAATCCGTGCTGTGTTTCCAAGCTGATGATGAAACCTGCTCACTTCTTGAGAGCAACGTGTCAGCCAAATCAAGCTGCAGAATTTCTAACGTGAATCGACTGCGGCATATGAAAGTGCGCGTGCTGGCCACGCGCAAGGCTGTTTTCCACAAGGCTGCTCGTTTCAGCTAGGCCATTCAGAAGCGTTGTCAACTTTAAAAAATGATTGCAACTGGACTGCATGAATCGAAAAAGGCGAACACAAGACAATGATTTCACAAACAATAGGACATCAACTTCAGTCACAAGATCCTCAAAAGCATTTTGCCTTATAGAAAGTCCCGATATGGGAATCAGCAACTCTGGTGAGGCAGTCTCGCTCGCAACAACTGGGCCTAGCCTGTGGAATGTAAATTCAAATCATGCGAATCATGCAAATCATGAAACATCAGTTGCCGTGTGACCGAGGCTGTCATGGCGTGATTGTCATGGCACGGGTCATATTTCACGCTGCGCTAAGCGTGCTGCGTAGCTGCGTAGCCGCGTGCTGCGAAGCAGGCCAAATCAGGCTCCTGCAGTGCCACCAGTGCCACCAGCAGTGCCACAGTGTCACAACACCTTGCAAGGTATCTGAAGCCCACGCCAGGGGGTCGGCATCCATCTAACCAGAATCCTATGCCTTCTTCAATCAATCTTCCGACCTCCAGCCTGAGCGTAGTTCAGTCGTGGAACTCGTTTGCCAGTTTGCAACAGCTGACAGAAGATTCACTAGAATTTACTTCATTTGGAATCTGCTTCAGTCAGCTGCCGCCAGCCTCTAACGAGAGAGGCCTCAATCTAGACGCGCAGGTCTTGCCCTCGCCTCTGCTTGAAAAATGCTGGCAACTATGACCCTGGTAGGGATCCCTCAAGAATTCCTGCCACAAGGGGTGAGACATCATAAGGCATGGGATACTTTTTGATCCCTTGCAAAGCACTGTGCCCGCCTTGACTCAAATCCGAAGGAACGCAAAGATTGTGAGATTCAGCTTGCGTTGTGCATATCCTACGCGATCTTCTAGGGCACGATGCTCTCGTCCCCTTCAAAGTGGAACGTTGAAATGGCCTTCTCAGTGCTCCTGACATATGCAATGATTCATTGCAATGGATGGCAGGTCAATCTCCCCTTGTGCCTTTCAGCGCTACCTTCCGCCTGACAATGCGTGTTTTGATCGAACCACGGTAGTCGCAATTCGACTCTCTGAGGCTGCTGCCTTGGAAAGGTTGTATCCATGCCTCGTCCCACACAGCTCGGCGGGCCTGGCATCAGCACACGCAAAGCTGTCAGAAGCGACATCGATTGAATTGTGTTGAATTTCGCAACCTCGCCGCTGAAGCAGGACTCGCCGAGGCAGAGGCGGTTGCCCGGCTCCAACTGCATGTAAGAGCACAAGCAACGCGTGACAACGTGCACTTCAGCGTCACACTCCGTGCTGTCCTGCAGCATGCAGTCAATCAATTGAGCGAGCTCAGCGCTTAAGACCTGCCCAGCCAGACAGCAAAGCTGTTGACGACGTAGCCAGCGAGCAGCACTGCAATCGGTTTCTTGGATTCTCAGGTGCCTCTGAAAGATGCTCCGTGCCCTTGCGCAGCTTTCTTTTCTTCAAAAACTTCATCAAGCCGAACCTGCGGGGCAAGCGACAACAGCCAGCTAAGCCAGCTTGTGGGAAGACAATTCCAGGCGCCGCACGTTGAGATGTATTCAAAGAGCTGGCACGAATTCTTCTTGGTTGAGGTCCAAGGGTAGTCCTGCATGGTGGTACACGTGGAAGAAGAGGAATTATAAAGATGACGCACGAGGTTGTAAAATGTACCTGAACTGCCATGGCAAAGAGGACAACGCCCAGTGCAAACCTTGGCAAATCAGATTGTACAAAAAATGAGATTGGAAGCTGGCTCCCGGCTCGTCTGCCAAATAAGCATCGTATTCAGCAGCAGCATGCATCTCTGGGGCCTTGGTTAGCACGGCATATGGCACGACGCCAGCAAGCCGCACAGTAAAAATTTTGTCGCTCACCTGGTATGATTGCTTGCCACGGACCTGTGGGTCTGACCAAGCATGGAAAAAAACACTGATGCGGACTGATGCGCGTCAATGCATGCCTCTTTCTTGCATACCCTGTTCGTGGTGGACATTCCAAAGTCGATGAGCTTCACCTGCTGCGAGCCTGGCCATCAAGACACAAGGGGAGGTTCTTTTTGTGAGGTTGCGTTTTGCTTGGGGAGGGGTGGGGAGGATAGGTTATGTTGGAAGGTGGTAGAAGGAGATCCCCCCTACACATTCACACCATTTCTCAACCCGCCTGACAATCTCAAAATGCTCCAAAGTTCTAGTTACAGACCTGCTGAATTAGAACGGTGCAAACAGCACGAGCGGCCGCTCTCCTTTTCCAGCCACATCTCCACTCAATGGCAAAATTCCCCTCTGGTGTGTTGGTGCACTATTGGTGCACTGTCTCCGATTCTTTCATGTTGCACCTATGGTGCATCTTATGTATGGAGACCGGGCAATCGAACTTTCCCGTCGCTGGTGTTCGATTCCCGTCGTAGCTGACACCAGCTGAGCTATCGGCGTCCCAGAACGGAGTGAATGGGGCCCAGCTCGGGGATGTTTTCAAAACCTAGAGTAGATGCGGCCCTGATGTCGCCTATGATTTTCAAGGCACGGTTAATGATGGCCTTGTGGGGAATCTCTAGGCGGGACCATAACAGTCCGCTGGGCAAAGATTCGAAGCGGCTCACGGGGTCCGAGATGTTTGCTTTGGTGGGCACACGTTCGAGGCGGTGAGCTATGCCTCTCCTGTTGTACCATGTCCAGTGTGCACTGATGAGGGCACTCAGGGGCTGATGTTTCCCGACCCCTTTGATGATGGCATGTCTGGCCGCCTCATTGTCGCAGCACTGGATGTAGAACTCATTGAGCAGGGGCTCGAAGATCAACGGTGCCAAGAGTGCCACCCATGCCTCCAGCAGGTAGATGAAAGCTGTGTTGGAGCTGAACTGTTTGAGGATCTCTTTGGGAAGACGTCCCTGAAAGAACCATGCACGGCGTTGTTCTCCTGGAGGGAAGAGGACAGCCCCAAAGCCGTTGTCTACTGCGCTGAAGTCGGATGGGCTCCAGTCTGTTGGGATCGGGTCCGATGGCCGAAGGAGTCGACGCTCGGCTGTGTAGTATGCATCGGTGTAGATGATGGCGAACTGTCGTACCTGGAGTTCGCGTGGTATCCGCACGGGCTTGCAATGCAATACGATGTCCATGAGAGCATAAAGGGCTGCCCTGGCAGGTTTGTCGAGTGATGTCTGGGGACTGTGTGCTCTGGCGTAAATTGCTTTGAGTGGCACACGACCCACTTCACCGAACAAGCGACCGGTGAGGAAGTTGCATTTACCGGCCATCCTCCTGGCTGTGTCGGAGTCCAGGCGGTTGTTCTGGATACATTCGAGGATTCCGTCGGTGCATCCTCTGTACACGCTGGGGGCATGGTGTAAGTACGACATCATGCTGTTCTATGGTGATGTGGACGCCCAGGATCTTGTGGGACCTGGCGGGCGCCTGGGGTTTGGATGGTTTCATCTTTATCCGAGCCATTGAAGTCCGAGAATGCTTGAAAGCCGGAGTCGGAATGTCGGGTGATTTCGGCGCTACCATAATCGTCGAGATAGCGCATGGTGGGGCAGAGTAGGAGAACTCTGGACACCGAGACCATTGCGTCTCCGAGGTTTCCCCACATGCTGGCTGATGAACCAAAGAGGAGGACACTGTGGCTCCACAACGCGGGTCCTTCGGGTGTGTGTAAGAGGACGTAGGCGTTCTCCGGGTTGTCCAGGGAAGTTGGCGATATGCCCCGTCGCGGTCATGCCCCCACACACGCATCTCTTCATCTGGGTGTAGTCGGTGTGTCTGTATCGCGAGGGACGCAGCAAAGTGGTCAGGGGTGTGATGGAACGGTTGGTCGCGCATGGTGCATGTGAATTTATGGCCACTACGTCGCCAGTCTTCTCCTCTGCGGATCTTGTCCTTGTCTGTTTGATGCTGAGGCCATGGCAATTCAAGGGTCTTGGCGAGGTAGAGGTTGCAAGGTCATGTCAGTCATGTCATACCCGCAGGGTGCCACCGATAGTGTCGGCCATGCTCGCGGGTGTTTGAACGGCCCATTCATTCTACCTGCTCTGACTTCTTGTACGATCTCGTCGAGCATGAGAGCATAGTTGTCGTCGACTCTGGGTCTGAGGAGCTTCTGTTGTATGTACTTGTGGTTGGTCAACGAACTCGGCAGGTGATCTGGGTTGCAGATACTTCTGGTCTGTACGAATGTACCAATTGGTGCCCGGTCGGAGGTCCCATGAGCTGGAAGCCGTCTGTGAGCTCGTTCTCGAGGGTACTGTATGAGTCGTAGCAGGTGGACAAAGACAGGGACCTGCGTTATATATTTGGCGCTTGTGTAGGCGCGGCGGACGTGTGGTGGTAATCGGGCTAACCACTCGTCTGTCTGATCCGCCATGTCCTCGACAAGATTTTGGATTTCTTGTACTGCTTGACGTCGAAATTCGTCGACTGGGTGGAGGGCTGTTGCTGATTGGGTGCTCCAAATAAGTGTGGGGTCCAGCGAACAGATGATGGGATTCTCCGGATGACGCACAGCCAACATGACCCATGACAACACCGAACGCCACCGCAACAAGGCACTGGGCAACACATGGCACATACCCACAGCAACGTGGTTGTTATTCCTGTTGCTGCTGAACACTTTGGCACAACCAGCAGCGACAATCACTTACAGCCCCATACAGCGTGCCACAGCGATTTGGCTGGCCAATTCAGAGCCATTTGGTCCCCCACCGAGACCATGTCAACACCAGCACATGCCACAATTCTCATGGCAAGACCACTTGCAGTGGGCAAAAACGCTTGACAATGGAATAGTGCAGGGTTGCTGCGATCGGGGTTTCACAACCTGGGCCAACCCTGGTC